TAATAAATTTTTTATAGAACTAGTTATTTTAAGTAGTAATAAAAGCTGTAATAACTAGAATTCTATTACAATTCTCTAATTAATTATTATAAGTAATAACTAGTTAAAAAGTTATTTTTAGTTTCAAGATATTTTAAAATAAATAATAGAATATTTATAATATTTTCTTTTGATATAATATTATAAGAGAAAAGTTCTTCATTAAGAAAAGCAAAGATTTATAGTTCTTATTTAATAGTAATATAATTTATATTAATTTGATTATCATTTTTTATAATAAAATAAAAGATTATATTTATACATATAATTTTTATATAATATATAAAATATGATTTATTATATATTTCTAAATATAAATAATTATCTCTTTTTAAGATCTGAAATTCTGAAAATATTATATATAAAATATAATAAATTTATATTTAAATATAAATAATTCATTTCTCTTTATCCTGTCAAAATCTTGTATTTTTTAATTATTTATATTTAGAAATATATAATATTATAAAATTTATATATTTTATATAGTCTTATATTTAAATAGATTATTAATTAATAATATATTATCACTTTTGAAAAGAAATAAATATAAAATTATAATAAATATAATATATTATAATCTATATTAAGTTTAAAAATAATTAAGATTTTTTTTAATATAATACTCACTATAAGTAATAAGAATCAAGCTTTCTTTATAAAAAATAATTCAAATAAAACAAAATTTTTACTATACAATTTTAATTATAAAAGAGATAAAGTTATCTAATAATTTTTATAATAGAAATTTTTGTAAATTTGATTTAAAAGCAAAAATAATTTTCAAAAAAAACAATAGTTTTTTTAAGTATCAAAAGAATTTATTATATTATTCTATATTTGTTTCTTAAGTAAATATATTTCTCTTCTAAAGACATATTAGTATACCTATTTCTATAAAGTCTGAATATATATTCATAAAATATTTATAAATGTATACAAAGTTTTTCATGAAAAATAAAATATTATTTTTTTATAAATTTAATTAAATGTATTTTATTAAAAAAAGATTCAAATTTTATAAAGATTCAATATTAATTTATTACTTATAGAAGAATTTATTTATCTAGAAAAGTATATTATAATAATCTAGTAAAATTTTCAGAAATTTATTAAATAATTTGATATTTTTTTTGCTATTTAAATAAAATTTACTAAAAATTTTATTATACTAATTCATTTTATTATTCTAAGTAAACTTATTTATTAGATATTTAAAAATACATAGTTAAAATTTTATTTTATTTAAATAATTTTTTATAAAGTAATAATTAATTAATCAATTCTCATTACTTATAGTAAGTACTATATTTAATTTTATATATAAATAATATATAAATTATATATTATTTTTTTATTTATATAATATAAAACTTTTGATACATGTAATTATAATATATATTTATTAAATTTAAAATAATTTATTTGTATAATTTAAATTTTTAATATTATAAATTAATAGTAATAATATTTAAAATATTATTTTAAAAAAAATTTATTTTAGTTTTTTTAGTAAAGTAATATTTTATAATTATTATATTAAATAAAAAATAATCTAAATTTATTTTTTATATTATTTTAATTATTTTATTATATTTTGATTTAATAATAAATAAAAATTAGCTAAAATTTAAATAATTTTTATTAAAAATAATTATTAATTTTTATATTAAAATATAAATCTTTTTGCATTAAATCATATTAAAAATAAAAAGATTTTATATATAATTAAAAAAATAATTATATAATAAAAAATATTAATTATTTTATAAAAACTTATTTAAATTTACTAAAAATTAATAAATAATTACTTTAAAATATAATTATAAATAAATATTATTCAAAAATTCAAAAAATTTCTTATATATAATATAATAAAATTATAATAATTCTATTAAAATTATCATTAATTAATAAATAATTACATTTATATATAATAAATTATAATAATTATTATAAATATTTAAAATTTTTAATTTTATATATTAATTATATAATAAATAATGAATAGAATTTTATAAAACTTTTTAAATATATATTTTTTATATAAAAATAAAGTTATTTAAGATATATTGATATAATATCTTATTAAAAATCTTATTAAATTACAAAAAATCAAAAATAATTATAAATATAACTAATTTTATATTTTTATTAATTATTTAATAAAAAAATACCAGAATTATATCAAAATTTATGAATATATTCTTTAGAATATAATAAATAATTTTATTTATAATAAAATAATAGAATTATTTAATATTATTTTTATAATATAAACTTAATTTTTATTAGATTTGATATATTTTTATAATAATTTTATTAAGAAAAAAATAATAATAATAATAATTAATAATAATTTTATAAAATATTTTTAATCAAACATATTTTAAAAAGTTATATCTAAATTATTAGATAATTTTGATAGTTTTTTATTATTTTATATATTATATTAAAAATTCTAATATTTATTTATAATATTAATATATTATAGTTATAATATAATTTTCTCTTTAAAATTTTTTATATTTCTTATTATATATTTTTAATTAATATATTATTATATTTATAATTATTATTATAATATTTATTTTTTATTTTATATTTTAGATTATTATTTAATTATATTTTTCTTATTATATATTTTTAATTAATATATTATTATATTTATAATTATTATTTATAATATTTATTTTTTATTTATATTTCAAATTATTATTTAATTATTAATTATATTATTTATATTATTAATAAGTTATTTATATATTAATAATTTAAAAATATTTTATTCTATTTGTATAATAATATTAATTCTTATTTTATTATTAATAAAATAATTTTTAAATTATAAAATTAAAATAAAATCTATTTATCTTTAATATTATATTCTATAAAATTATATTTTTGCTAAATTTTATATATTTATAATAAGAAATTTTGAATAAGTTTTTTATTATATAATTATTTTTATTCTAAAAAGAAAATTTAAAAATTAATATTAATAATTTTTATATAATAAGTTATTTATTAAATATAAAAGCCATTAAATTTTAATTTTAAGAAGCTTTTATTAAATTTTATTATAATTTTTTATCTTATAATTATTATTTTTCTAGATAAGAAATTTAATTTAATAATAAATTTTTCAAATACTAAGTAAAGTTATTCAGCAGATATGAAGTAATTAATTATTAATTTTGAAAAGTTTTAAATTAGTTTTTATATAGTTATTATAATTTTTTATTATATAATTATTTTTTATTTATATATAAAAACTTTATAAAATATTTTTAATAATAATTATATCTTAAATAATTAAATAAATTTATTTATATTAATATATAAATATTATAATATTATATTAATAAAAGTATTATTTTATAAAAAAAAATTCTAATAAGTTCTTAATAAATTTTATAAGATGCATATTACTATATTATAGACTTATAATAAAATGAAAAGAAAGAATCTTAACTTTTTAGTTTTCTAACAAGATATTTTTCATGTAATTTTATATTATTATTATAAAATTATTATATAAAGTTACTTAAAACTTTTATAAATCTATAATATATATATATATAATAAGAAATTTGATCTTTATAATTATATAATAGATAATTATATATAGATTAATTAAGAAAAAGTATATATTTCAAGATATAATTAGAAAAATCTTAATATTAATATTAATAGTATTTGTAATATTCTTTTGTCTTAAATAATACTATTTTTATAAATTTGATTTATTTTATTATATTATTTTGATACTGCATTTTTTAATAATAATAAAGTTATTTATATTTGAGAATTTATATATTAAAATTAATCTGAAATATTATTTTTGTAAGTGTATATTAAGTAATTTATAGAAATATTTTTTCTTTAATCAAGCTCTTTTTATTTTCTTCTCTTTATTTAAGATACTCTTTAATTTCTCTGTTTATTTTAGAATATTCTAAAGAATACTGAAAATTTGTGTCATTAATTTAAGATTATCAATGGAGTAGCACACTTCAGAATCACTTCAGATTGAATTCAACGAATCCGATCTGAATTATTCCAATGAAGTAACTGAATTATAAGAATTTTAAACTATATAATTGTGATTTGATCAAAATGAAATAATTCAGAGTTGACTAGAAATAATAAATTAATTATTGCATGCTACATCTTGATTTGTCTAGTTGCATTGGGATATATATCGATATAAAATTATATGTAATGATAAGAAAATCAGTCCAATATTCCGATAGTCAAAATTTTGAAATACCAAAACCTTGAAATTCTTACATACCTAACCTCCTGGCATCCAAAATCACAAAATATTAAAATCTGAAATTCATCCCAAGCACTCAAATCCTGGCGTATCCAACATCCTGACACCTAAAAACCCAAAATACTAAAATTTTATCTTAAAATTTTGACATATTAAACTTTAAGATGTTCTTATGGCTCTAAATCCTTGTATAGATCAAAGTAAATCATGATTTTTGACATTTCGGTATCACTTCATGTCAATATACATGTGTTTATCAAATTCGCGTAGCATCAATACATTTTTGTATAAATTTGTTAGAATTAGGATATTTTAGGATGAAAGAAATCGCAATACTGCAAATTTCTTAACCATCTCTGTGACAGACTAATTATTCATATGATTCGAAATAATAAAAATACCTTATTTCTATATTAAAAACATTTGAATTTATCGTTATGCAGAAAAGTCGTAAAATATAAAATAGAGTTTTAAAGACGGATTCATGATATAGGAAAATTATTTTTTATCAAAGAATTCGCTTATTCATTTGACTTACATCCTAAAACGTGGAAAATGACATGTATAGTTTTATTTTTTCTGTTTATTCTTGTTAGAGCACTTAATAATTAAACTATATTTCAAATATATTACTACAATAACTTTTAAAAAGGATTACAAATAATTAATTAATGCATATTTGCTAACGTAATATATTCCAGAATTTGACTATAAATTCAAAGTATTGTTTTGAATTGATTATTGGAGCAAAATCCAGAGAATAGCCTGGAGTATTACTCTAGAGCAAATGAACGGGATTGGATTGGAATATACGTATCTGGCTTCATTGAAGTATGAACACTAAAGTATTTAATATATTTTGACTACTATTTTCCATAGGTCTGATAAAACTCTCAAGTTTCCCAGCGGTTGTTCTAGTTTTAGGAATAGATCCCAATATCTTCAATAATAAACTTGCACCAGCCGGGAACATTATTTGGTATCGTACTCTTTATAAGTGTCTAATACGAGAATGTATATCGTGACTTCGCTCACCATATGATTGTTTACATAATTATGTACACGATCATTTCAAAAGTGTATTACTTTTCAATTAGCGCCTCTGGTCTCGTATAAGAAAATACACTGCTATCTCTGGACCGGTAAGTCCAAACTCAGCAATTTGAACAGTGGTTGAACGAATTGATAATATATTCCTAAGGTGAAAGTCACAATATGCAAACTTTTCTTCGTGAATACTTTCTTAGATCATTATTTATTTAATAAGCAATTTGAATTTTTCCTCCAGTAAATATTCATTTGAAACTATGTGTTTAGTAATGCCAAAGTAAAATTATTATTGAATATAAAAGCAGTGAAAGCAAAAAGCAACTTTCACTTTATATTTTACTTCATCTATAGATTCTTGAGCAATTTGCTTTGAATTGTGTAGTGATTTTAAAATAATTTCTATCTGTTTTTATTTCGCTTTCATTCATTCTCTACCTAATGATCCATACAATCAGGTTGCTTTGTAAAAACTCCTCTGCAAGATACAGTGTGTTGCAAAAGTCTTTGGACAAAATCATTGGACCATTGCACCACAATAGCTGATTCAAATCACGCGTTTAATGATTCATTCGAAAGCTGAAGAGCACGAGATGATTTTAAAAAAAAATTAATAAGGAATACGTTCGCCATTGTTTTCAATAATAAGTTTACAACGCTCTTTCATTGACCTCACTAAATTATTGATAAGACGTTGAGGAATCTCTGCCCATTCCTCCTTCATAAATTGCTCCAATTGCGAAATATTTCTTGGTTGTCATATCTCTACGTTTCTCTTGACAATACTCCATAAGTTTTCGATGGGATTTAGGTCAGAACTGTTGGATAGCCAATCAATTACTCTTGGGAAGTTATTTTAAAGATATTCTTTCGCCACACCACTTGTGTGCTTCGGATCGTTGTCTTATTGGAACCGCCAATTATTTCTTAACATATTTCTGATCTCAGGAACATGTTTCTTTAGGATATCAACGTAGAAAAGACCGGTCATATCTTCTCAGAAGCAAAAAAGACTTGTTTTATCTTTTATACAAAATCCGTCCAAGCATTAATTTTTATTCAGTCTTTTGGGATGCGACGAACTAGCCGTTCACCCTTGTACCAAACTTGTACAGTATTTCTAAATAGCCAAAAACTTGTTTCATCAGAAAATACTGTCTGATTCCAATTGTCATTGAGGTGATTTTGCGCTCATTCTATCCGCTTTTCCTTATGTGTCACCGTGAGCATTAGTGTCGCCATAGGGAGACTTTTATCAAAGTCATGTTTGGCTAAATGTCTTGAAAGTATACTATAAGATACCTGGATACCTTTTTTGAATAACTTTGTGATCAATGTTCTTAAAGATATCATAGGATTTCTCTGAACAATCTGTCCAATGAATCTTGAGCATTTGGGGGTGATTTTTGTGAGATGATCACTGCATTTTTTGTGGACTGTACTTTGGGTTTTCTTCAATTTTGAAATGTTATAGTAAATAGTCAATCTCGCAATATTTATTAGGTGATGTATTTTGCCTGCATTTTTGTCCTGAAGCCAGAAATACTCAATAGTTTAGGTATGGGTATTTTTCTTGGCCATTGGCATTTTTGTTTGCTCTTTTTAGAAAATATATCAACAAAATTTTGTGAAAAAAGAAAGTAAAATGACTCTTGTAGTACCGAATATCTTATCTCTTTTTATTTAGTCTAGTTTGGATTGAAATTGAGTGAGTTACACCAATTTGATTTTGAATGACGATTATCCAAAGACTTTTGTAACATACTGTACTTACCATGAATACCCAAAATTTTCAAGAAAATATTGATCACGTGTTAGCAGAAGTAGGAGTATCACCTCGACCAGAGAGCCCAGAAAACTTGAAGAATTTCAAGCCGGAGATAGAGATAGAAAAAGAAAATAGTGGGGCGTTGTACCACTGAGAGTTTAAAGCTGAGAGTATAGCTGAATATCTATACAAGATCTGGGATGATAGCGTGAGACCTAGAGAATTTCTCAGAACAGATTCCGAAGATGGAATAGAAGCTATACTTACAGATCATCAGGACTATTCGTTATATAAATTTATTGATGGAAATAAATCACTTTGTCCTATTATTGATTTTAATTTACCAAGAGAAAAATTTAATAATATCGAACCCAAGCTTACACCTAAAGAGATAAAAAATATACTTTATAATGCTTTTACAAAAACTTATTTAGATGTATTTTCAGAATGTGACAAAACTATTATCACTATTGCCAGTAGTAGTAATTCAAAAAAAATATCTTATTATATCTTAACATTTGGAATGTGTCTTAAGAATATTGCCAAAGTCATGGTATTTACCAAACTTGTTTGTAAGAAACTTCCAGTAGGTTTACAAGACAAAGAAATTGTTAACAATATCGCAAATAAAAGATCATTTTCATTACGAATACTTGGAATACCAAAATTTATTAAAAAGATAAGAGAACACATATGTGTAAAGAAAGCATTAGGTTTCAAAAATAGGAATGTTTTTGATTTTATATTTCATTCTCCTAATGATGAAGCACCAGTTATAGATAGCCCAATCTTAGAAATTCCAAAAGAAATAGTGAAAAATAGTAAAGCAGATAATGGGAGCATTAGAGCTAAAGTCGATTATATAGAGAAACTACTCAATGTAATGAATATTGAAGATTTTGATATTTTATTCCCAAATCCCATATCTCCAGATATATTCACTTTAAGATGTATAGCAGAATCACATTGCTCTCTATGTAATCAAGAACATAATAATGATAATATATATGTGGTTCAAAATAAAAAGATGTATCACTATTATTATCATCGTGCAAATCAAGAGATATCTAACGGTACAAAAAAACCTTCATTAAAACTCATCATTAGTGAAATAGCTGAAAAGCAAGAAAAAAGACTTCCAGCTCCAGAAAAAATAGAATGATCAAGAATTTCAGATCCGAATGACCGTTTTGTATAGGGAGACTTAATTGATATATGTACTTCCAAGCAAAGTTATACATGCAATGCAGTATATGAAGCAATTCAAGTAATAGTTGCATGTGTGCAAATAACATCAAGACTTTGGCTACTTAAAATGGAAAATACAGATAATAGTCTTTTCTTTGATATGGCACCCAAAATAGATCTTGCTAAATATGAAATTAATATAATTGAACTTGGGGAGGATTTAATTAAATTAAAATCATTAATACATCATGCAGTTACCAAAGATTTGATTCTTTATCATAATATCGATTTCTTACCATACCCACCAGACACTCCATTTTCTAATATCAAGTTCTTTAATCTCTTTTTAGGATTCAAAGTCCAACTAGCAATTGAGATTAATCTGGCTATTATTGATCCAATTCTATGGCATGCAAAAAATATAATCTCTGATGGAAATGAAAAGCTTAGTAAATATTTCTGGTACTGGTGTGCATATCTAGTACAACAACTATCTAAAAAATCTGGAACAATTCAAGTATTACGTTCCTTACCAGGTTGCAGAAAAAATATCTTAATTGATTTTATAGGTAAGAAAGTCCTCAGATCAGAACTTTTCTATGCAATATCTGATCTTAGAAAAATATTGAGGTGTTTTAATAGTTACATTCAGGCTCGTAAACTAACTGTTATGAATGAAACAGGTATGTCTAGTGGAGATTAGAATAAATATAATGATTATCTTAAATCACTTATCACAGAAGATTATTTAATAGTTGAATGTAAAAATATCAAACCAAAAGTCATAAAAGATTATGCTAGATTTATGGTATTAAGTAATCATAATACTCTACTCCAGATAGAAATGGATGATCATCATATCATGTATTTTGATGTATCTTCCTATTGTAAAGGTAACATGGTATATTTTAAGAATTTGGCCAAAGTACTCGAACATCCTGACACACCAAATGTAGTTATGGCTTATTTACTCAGTCTTGATATCTCAGATTGGAATCCACAAGATATTCCTGCTACTAAAATGAAAATAGATATAATGTTGGAATATTTACCAAACCCAAAATGATTTATAATCGATCATATTTTATCTTGGCCTGAAAATAGAACTGAGAATTCAATATGTTCAAATTTATATCAGAAATATCGTATTTGGTATGAAAGAAATGGTAAAAATCCATTTACTAACAAAAAATTTGGAAAAACTTCTCTAACAATTAGTATAGAACGCAAGCAAGCATGAATCAATGGAAAAAGAGACTGGATCTATACTCTTGATCAATCCAAAATCGTGAGTAAACTACGTGAATCGGGTATTGATATAGAAGAATTTTCTGATACACTTCAAGGTGAGATACCTGTCAATACATTCACAGATATCCCTATATTCAATGTACCTGAAGTTGTTATATCCGAATCAGAAAAAAAGATAGCTGAGACATTGACCACTGATTATATCAAAAAAGGTAAGGAAATAGTATCCATCTCACCTATTACTAAAATGATCCAAGACCTCTTTGATTCTATAACAGATCAATCAGAATCTCCAGTTACTTCGTCATCCAAGTCTATCAATATATCTCTGCCTTCCAAGATCATGAATATAGAAGTTGTAGATAATAAATCCAAATCTCTGAAAATTATCGAATTAGTGAGTGATGAAGCTGAATTTGTAAATAATGAGCCCGAGATATCTCTTGACTTACCTGTGAATGACGAACTAAAATCTAGTAATGAAGAAGTCAACACCCAATTGAAAATATATCTATCTGATTATTTAATCCGGGAGCAATGAGAAGCCTGTCTCCATCAAAAAGCTATTGAGCTTGATGAAGATCCTGACAAATTCGTTACTATTACTAAAAAAGATAAGCTCG